CGGATTCGATCAAATTGCCTAAGCCTCGAACTTATGAACAAAATTTTAATAAGGCATAAATGAAACAAAATTTTCACAAGGCAGAAAATGAAATAAAGATAAGTCGGAAAGGAAAAAGATCTTTATATATATGAGAATATTTACAAGGTTCGATCAGGATCCTATACAAAAGATCAAAAGTGAAAAATCCTAAGGTTCCTGATTTTCTCCAGGGGAAGCTTCTTCTCCATCGAGGTCCTCCCCATTCTCGGGACCCGCTCATGCTGCTATCATCATCATCATCATCGGAAGAGGCCAGCGCTCCAGCCTCAGCTTCATGCTCTCTAGCCTTTACTATCTCGTTGGTAAGATCGAAACCTCGAGCGTGGATTTCCTCGAGGGTTTCCTTCCGAGATTGGCATTTGGCGAGTTCATCAATCCAATATGCTCGAGTTTGAGCGGTCTCGGCTGCCTCTCTCGCTTGGACATGAGCGGCTTTAGCATCGTCCCGGTATATGGCCACGATCGCCTCTTCCTCGGACTTTGCCTTTTCTGCTTCAGACTTGGCCTTTGCGAGTTTGGAAGCCAACCGAGCCTCGAGCTCCTCTATTTTCTTTACCTGAATTGAACTTTTCTCCTTCATTCCTCAAAGCTAACTTTCGGTCGATGACAATTGGGATAAAGCAGTCTCTTTTTCTGCAGCAAAAGCGGTACATACTTTCTTTCCACCCCAAGGTATCCGCCTTCATCATATTGACCTCATTGCGGAGCTGCTCAATCCTCTTGAACTTCTGTTGTAGCTGTGATATCGAAATGTTAGTCACTGTTCCCGAATCGAGCCCATGAGCTTTTAAGATTTTCATTACCTGCTCGATCAGGTCGATCTGATCTTGGTGAGCCTTGGCCAACTCGGCTCAGAGGTCCTTGGTCTCCTCTTCTTTTTTCCCACAGAGAAGTCTAAGGGCATTTCTCTCTTCCGTGAGCCCTCAAAGGTCGGCCTCATACCGACTCAGCTCAGCTCGAGACCGAGAAAATGCTTCCCGATAAAGCACTGAGGCCTACGCAGAAAGAAGAAAAACAGTTAGATAGGAAGAGAAAAATGAACACAATGGTAATACCAACAAGGGGAGTTAAGGCTTACCCAATTCAGAGCTTGCTGCGCTTCATTGAAAAGGCTCGATGGCTCGGCTGAGTCCCTCCTAGAGACCTACAAGTCGCTCAGGCCGGTAGCATCTTCGACCCCAGTAAAGTAATCACGAAAAGGATCCTCCCTTCCGTGGGCTCCTTCGATGGAGAGGGTCTTCAAGGACCGAGCCTATTGAATCATCTCCTCGGAAAAAGAGGGGAGCAGCGGTGAGCCTCCAATTTCTATTGCCCAAAGTGGATCACTTGGGGCGTTCTCTCCATCTCAAGGGGCCTCGAGACCAGCCCCTATAGTCATACCCACCGCTGGCTCATTATGGTGGGAGGCATCTTCAATCCTCGATGACTCGGGAACTTCACCCGAATCTCTTCCCGAGACCCCCTCATCTCGAGATGGAGTCTCTACAGTCTTCACCGATTTAGTGGCTTTTGGGGCCTCGGTGCTCATTCCCACTCGGGCCACCAGCCCAGAGTCGTTTTCTTCCTCTTCTTCGTCTTCATCTTTTAGACGCCGAACAAAGTCTTCGGTCAGGAGGATGACGTTCTTTCTCGGCTTACGAGTCACCTTCTTCTTAGGTTCTGGATCCTAGGAGGCTGAGAGCTTTTTCCTCTTTTTTTCCTTCAGTAGTTTCGGTGCCGGGACCGAAGTCTCCTCCTCACCAGATAGGGGCTTCATAACAACATCTTTACCAAGTCTTGTATGAAAGGAAATTAAGTAAGAAATACTTTAATAAAATCATCAAAGACGTGGAAAATGGGCTTACCATGAGTTTTGGCCTCCCATCGGCCCTTTGATAAATTGCGCCATGAGCACTCGGCATATGAAGAGGTCGAGACCAGGTCCCAAACCCAGCTCTTGAGGTTAGAAATTGCATCGGGCATCCAAGCGACCACTACATCACAGAAAGGGACATCGATGAGAAGAAGCAAATGAGCAAAACAATAAATAGGAGCTAACAGTGGGATTGAACTTACGCTTCATATTCCATTTCTCGGGAAATGGCATCTTCTCGGCCGGAATTAGGTCTGAAGTCCTCACTCGAACGAACCGACCCATCCAGCCTTGGTCCTTGTCCTCGTCTATGCTCGAGAACAAAACTTTGGTAGCCTGGCGTTGGAGTTTTATTAACCCGCCTCGATAAAGGCGGGGGATGTATAACCTGATGAGGTGGTCAAGGGTGAAAGACATCCCCTCGACTTTGCTCACGAAGAATTGGAGCAGAATAACAATTCTCCAAAAGGAAGGATGTATTTGGCCTAGGGTTATTTGATACTGATGGCAAAAATCAACGACGACGGGGTCGAGGGGCCCAGCGTGAAAGGGTAAGTGTAAACAATTAGAAACCCTTCCACATGGGTGGTGATGTCCTCTTCGGGGGTCGGGATCACCACCTCTTTGCCCTCCCAGTTGCAGTCTTTCTTTACTTGCTTAAGGTATCCCTCAGTTATCGAGCATATATACCTCGACACTGGCTCACATCGACCGAGAATCGATGAGGATTTATTGGTCTTAAAATCGGAAGTGAGGACACACCCCCTGGGAACACACTCCTCAGGGCGCGGCTCCGCCGGTGTTTTGTCGTCGGCCAGCCGCGATGAAGAAGCGTTTTCCTTTTGAGGAATAATTTTTGATGTTTTTACCATTTTTGTATGGATTTGAAGTTAAAAAAAGATGGAGATGATAAGATTTGGTGTTTTGAGAAGAGGTTAGCAGTGAAAATCATAGATTTATAGATGAAGCACTTAGAAGATATAAAAAGCTTTGGAGTTAAGAAATTTGAAAGTAAAAGTTTAAAATGGTGGAGAGAGGGGCTATTTATAAATTTTACAACGACGGTTCAAAATTGGTGGTGGGCGACCATCGACTGACGTGCATTTAATGCCTTGATAACTGTACAGACGGGACGTTTCAGTCACTTTCGTTGCTTACGTCACAAGGATGACGTTATGACAGGTCGAGGCAGAAAATCGAAGGCTCAATTCGTTTCTTGTCATTACACGCCAAAAAATGAGGGAACTATGTATAAAGTTGAAATCGGGCCCACCCGATTTTATTATTTGACCGAGACCGAGAGTTTGCATCGAAGGACGGCCTCGTAACGGAATAGGCCGTATCACGAGGATAAGGTACATAATAAAAGAAAGGCGAGATACACATGGCTGGTTGAGGAACATGGCGTAAGTCTCGGTGACTGGTCGAGGATCATGGCGTAAATCTCGAAACGGATCAAATCAGAAATGGTTAATTAGCTAATCATGGGGTTTTCTTCTGTAATTAGGATTATACCATAAGTGAAATTCCTCTACTATATAAAGGAGGGTTCTAATCATTTGTAACACACTGTGAACATACATAAAAAGCAATATAATTCTCTTTCTCGTTCGCACCATTGTTCATTAGCTTGCTATATATACTTTCATAGTTCTTGCATCAACCAGTTCGAGGGTGTCCAAACTCGAGGGCTGAGTTTCATTCTAACACTGGTTTGCTTTACTTTATTGTTAAATTCTTTTACTCATCCTCACATTTATCAATTGGTGTTAGGTGAAATTACGTGTCCTTAGAACCATATTATAAGTACTTTTATTTAAAAGTAATTATCTAAAAATCACTTTTGAAAATTAGCAGTTTGTGTTTGGTCAATTCGTTTGAGAAACACTTTTTGCAAAAAATTGATAACCAAATTGTGTTTGGCCAATCTTTCCAAAAAGTAGTTTTGAGTGTCAAATTATGATAAAGGACAGTAAAAGTTTGTTTACAATTAGCATTATTTAAAAAGAGAAATTTTAAATTTTTATTATAAAATAATTTAACTAATTTTTTATTTGTAAGTAATTAAAGTATAAAATATAAATTAATATGTATTAAATATTTTAATCAATATAAAATAAGTATATAAAAGCAAAAATACTGGTAGGAACATATATGCTTACAAGTTACTTGTATAAAAAACACTATCAATTTTTGAAAAAATAACAAACTAAGTAGTATTGCATTTTTGTCAACTATATCATATGCATGCACGAAAAAAATATATATAAATAAAACTACAAACTGGAGATCATATAATATTGATATACTACAAAAGAAAAAAAAATCATAACTTACGAAGAAAGTATTTGAATTTGGTGATTCGCCTTGTTATTTCACAAAGTAATAGGGGACGAGAAAAGAAGAAACGAAGAAATAGAAAAGAAGAGATATATTTATATTAGAGAGATTATTCCAAATAGGAATAAGAGAAGAAGAATAAAAATACAGAAAAAATTAAAAAGAGAAAAAGGGATGGTAGAGATAAAAAAGTGAAGGTTAAAATAATAAGAGATAATTAGGAAATACTATAATTTTATGGTAAGGATATTTTTGTCTTGAAAACATTAATTTTCTGCTTCTGCTTCTACTTCTTGGAAGAAGCTAGAATTTGTAGCTTCTTCCCAAAACCAGAAAAACTGCTTCTACTGCTGCTCAAAAACACTTTTCTATTTTGGCCAAACACCTCATATTTCTAATAAGTTTTTTTTGGGTCAAAAAAGTACTTTTGGCCTCCCGAGAAGCTTGGCCAAACATGCTATTCGTCATGCCCGGACTATGATATTAACAAAAATTTGACCATAAACGCATATGATTTTCTGAAAGAAAATATTTCTATTAAGTACGTACTTAAACTCTTTATTTTTTATAGACATAAACATATTATGAGATATTTAATATTAGAAATTTCAAAAGTCTAATGGCCCATAAATTAACTTACCCGTCTTTTGCATCAAAGGGTATGAGGGAACTACACTTTCTATCCATTATGCCTAATATATTTGCCCGTTTCTATCCAAGCCCAAAGTTTTTTTTATGTCTGCCTATGCGATCCAATGTATTTACNCTTATTTTTTTTTAAAACATCTTAGCTCTGCCTTTCTCCAACCATGAAAATGGCATCAGCAGTTGCACAATCAACCATTCCTTTCAGGTAGGAGTTTTTTAGATTTCGTTTCTATAGTTTATTAACAACAGTTTTTAGGCAAAAAATTTCCTATATGAGTACATTTTCATAATTCTATTTTTATAGAAGTAGATTTTAAAAATCACTGATTTTTTGTGGATTTGTTTACACTTTCTTAATCGATGTTCGTCCATTATTGTATTTCAGTATGGGTAGGAAGCATGTTGCACGTAGATGATGGCGTCGTATAGATAATCCTTCTTCAAACCAAGCAGGTATTGAGTCGATTGCATAAACTATATTTGGACCAAGTTTTTTTTTATTCTCCGTAAGTGGGTAGCCAAATCTAGCGGTAATCGCACGAAAAATAAAAGTAAAAAAAATAGAACCCATGGTTGTTGATTTTGAATTAAAGGAAAGAAAAGCCAAAAACATTGATGATTCTCCATTTGAGGAAACTGGCATATAACGATCCGATCGGTTTTATGTATTTGAGCTCCATTTCTCTATTTGATGCTTCTCCTATTTATTTATTTATTATATTGTGACTTACGGGGGTGAGTGATTTGATTTCGGAAAGGTTTGAAAGTGATTGGAACATTTGTTTTATTTTTGGAAATATAAGTTGCTAGAGTTGACCGAGATATAACCTTTGAGTAAACGACCTCAGATTGGTGATTTGATGGTTCCAATAGAGTCGTGTGGTGATTCTGGATTGGGGCATATATTTGAATTTAGATTCGGAGGTTCCTAAAAGGTTTTAGCTTTATTTGCCGGAAGTTGGCAATTTGAAGGTTTGGAGAGTTCATAGGTTTGATTGGGAGCTGACTTTGATGTTATTGGGATCCGATTGGTGTTTCTGAACTTTACATAGGTTCATTTAGTAGATTGAAATTTGTGTGCAAGATTTGACTGTGATCCGGTATGTATAAGTGTGATACGGACATGTTCGGCGAAGTTGCAATGTTAGAAACTTAAAGAGAAAGATTTTGATCGTTGATTCTTGGTTATAATATTATTTGTGGTGTTTTAAGCCGTTGGATAAGTTTGAACTAAGTATATGGACTTGTTGGTATGATTAGATGGGGTCGCAGGAGGGCTCGAGCGAGTTCCGGACTACCCGGATCATATTTGGAGATTGCTGATTTTCTAGTGTCTCGTCTTCATCGCATTCGCGTGGGGTCTACCGCATTCGCATTGAAGGATTTTGGAGCTGGGATGAGTTATTCTTCACGTTCGAGCTCAGGGATTCATGTTCGCGATGGCATTGAGTCGGACAGAGGTTTAACCTTCGCGTTCGGGGAGCAGGGATCGTATTCGCGTATGCTTGGCTAGCTTGGGCATCGCATTCGCGAGAGGATCTTCATGTTTGCGTAGAGTTCTTTTGGGCTGAGGCTGGTTGTGCTTCACGAACGCGAGGTCGTGGCCGTGTTCCGAAGGATATGTCTCGGCAGACCACTTAAGTAATTTATTTTGTTATTTGGTCCATTTTATCATATTTTGAATCCCAGACTTCAAGAGATGGAGATTCTGAAGAGCAACTTTACTATTTCATTGGAGATAAGGAATTTTCACTTGGATTTGACTTTATATCTTGATTCCCCATGAATTTCTACACCTAAAATATGAATTTTTGAAGTGAAATTTAGAATTTTTATCTACAACTTAAGAGGGTATATTTTAAAAATTTGAGGGCCTATTTGGACTTGATTTTGGAATTTAATCACATGTTTGGACTCATGAGGTTATAGGTAGTCGGGATCTACCCCTTGACTCGGGTTTTGATCGTGAGCCTGATAGTAGGCTCGAAATATGAGTTTATGGCCTTACTTCACCTATTATTTAACTATACTTTAATTGTGTTTAGCTAAAATGTGAACAATTATACTCATTATGTATTTTCTGTTGTGCAGATTGAGATTCTGGGCTATGACGAGTTTTGGAGTTAAAGTGAATAAAACGAGAACTTTGAAGTCTAAGTAGAAGTTTGAGAATTAAAGTCAGGGTTGAGTTCGGGATCAAAAACCGAGTATACATGTAAAAAAAATAAAAGAAATCGCTCAAGGCCATAAAATTGGCCTACCACGGCGTGGTTGATGATGTGAGCGTGCCTTATTAAAAAAAGCAATTGAATTTAATTTTGCCAACTTTCTGAATTGTTGCCTTAATACGTCATTTTGACGTAGTGCATCATTGAGATGCTTGGGCTAAAGGTTAGGCAGCCACCAAGAAAACAAGCCTCTCAAGAATCTCACATGTGCTACGCGCAGTGCTTCGCCCGGTGCGGCACCCTTGTGTAATTTTGCCAATTATTTCAGTTCGGCTCAGAGAAGATATTTTGATTCAGGTTCGTACATACTCGGTATAAATTCGCGGTAAATATATTTTTTTTAAAGGGATAATCGATCTAGGGAGCTACTGAAGAGCATTGGAGGTTTCAAAACAAATAAATTCATCATTCCTCCACCAATTCAATATGCAAGTTTGGATTGTAAAGTTGGAGTAATGTTTCTATATTCTTAAAATTATTTGTGATGAATTTCTTCATTATTATGGAGTAGTTTACCTTAGGGTTTGACATGATTTGATGACTTGGTTGTTGTTTATGGATTTGATTATCGTTTAATTGCTTGAATTTATTAGAGGAGCTTTATTATTAGTTGTGATTTTATTCTTTATATTGTTTAATCGAAAGAGGAACATCTTATTGAGTATTATTACACTGTATGCCTTAGTTTATTTTGGTGATTCTTTGAAGTAATCGTGAGAGTTTTTTGAGCTACCGTTTAAATTAAGATTGAGAAATATTCGCGAGAAGTTTTTCTTAGACCATTCTTACCAATGAACTTCTTGCAGGTTTCACTACTCTTCACATTAGTTTATTTGAAATATTTAGATTTAATTGAGAGATGAATCTGAATCGAAAGTATAAGCTAATCACCTATTGAATTCGTGAGAATCAAATCAATCAATAGAACTTTAAGAGTGAAATACAACAGTGTCAAATTCATGATAACAGTCTTGAACCTATCATGTCAAAACCCTTATTCTTCGTATTGATAATAACCAATTGCCTTGCTCTCTAGTTCTTTGTGATTAATTTTTACTTGCTTTAGTTTTAGTGTGTTAGTTGTAGTATTAATCATCCCAATTCAAAGTATTGAATATTATGAATAACATTTAACCCAAAAATTAATTAAACATTATTTAAATCTAATTCATATGGAGACGATATTTTACTATACTATCTTTGGCTAGCGAGCATTAATATTCGTGTTGTATTTTGCGCTCGTCAAATTTTGGCGCCGTTACCGGAGATTGGTAATCAATAGTTCTTAAAGTAATTTTTGTTGCTAAATCAGGGATTAGTTTTTTTTTCTCTTCTTCTTTATTTTTTTTGGGTTAACTTGTCTTTTTTTTTTTTGTAGTACTTAACAAGTGTTAGGGAGAAAGCTTGAAAAAAATATTTCTGATATTGAACTCAAGTGCTGTAAAGATGGAGCACAACCAGCCTAAAATTACAGTTGCAGAGTTAGCAGCTGAACATTATTACAAGTTTACTATTTGTTTTAAATGTAGTAGAAATTATCTATGGGTTGACTGTCAAGCAGGTAAGTATCCTTCGTATGACTCATCTTTTGAACAGTCTCACTCTATTTCTAGTCCGTACAAGTATGAGTTATCATATAGGCACAATCTTAACTCTGGTTGTGGTGAATACCTTTATTATGTCTGGAATGAAAGCGAAGTGAGACAACTACCTCAAGAGGAGAATGGTAGTTTAGAAGAGTTTATGTATAAGTTAATGAACAGTGTTGAAGAGAGACTTATGCAAAATGACGAAGCCATTAAGAACCTAACAGCACAAGTGAATTAAGAACCTAACAACACAAGTGAGTAAATTAGTAAGTATGCTTTCAGAAAGCTAATTGCATTGTGATGATGAATATATGGAGGAGATACCCTGTGAGAATGAGCCTACTCAAGAAGATGAACTTTTACAAGAAAAAGTTGTTGCTCTGCAAGAGGGCTTTGATTCGATTGAGACAATTGAGGATAAGGTTTTGGTTGATTATGAAGCAAAAGAAGAAGAGTTAAGACCCCATCCACCTTTTTAATCACTACAACATAATATATTTATAGCTATGAATTCTCAGCTACAAATATGAAAATTGTGGCTAATACCTAACAATAGCCACAAAAATTTAAATCCCGTGGCTATTTACAATCGTATAAAATTTCTTAACTACAAAAATTAAATTGGCAAAGCTAATTCCTTATTTTTATTATAGCTGCTAAATATCATGGCAATAATTATCCAAACAGCTACAAATTTATTGCTACAATAAAGTTTGTAGCTAATCATATATTTTTGCCACAAAACTAAAATTACTATAGCAATAGTAACCTTATAGCCACAAAAAATTACTTGAAATAAAATATTATAGCTAAATAGATATTTTTGCTTCAAATTATAATAATTCGTGACAATAACTATTTTAATAGCTACAAACTTATTGCTACAATAAAATTTCGTAGCTAGCCATAAGTTTTTGCCACGTGTTTGAAGATGTTGTAGCAATTGCAACATTGTAGCCACAAGTATTTACTTGAAACAAAATGTTGTCGCTGAATAGACACTTTTGCTTCATATTTTAAAAGTTCGTGGCAATAATTTGGTTAGTAGCTAGAATTTTATTGCTAAAGTAAAATTTCGTATCTAAATATAAGTTTTGTCACGTCTTTGAAGTTATTATAGATACAGTAATATTTTAGTCACAATAAATAATTTGCAAGAAATGTTGAATCTAAAAAAGATATTTTTTATTCATGTTATAAACAACAGTGACAAGTTTTCTTAATAGCTACAATTATTTGTTATGACAAGATGATATAGATATAAAATTTAAAGAGACAATAAACTTTCGTAGCTAGTTATAATTTTTGTCATGCACTTAAAATAATCATATCAATAAATATTATTTAACCACAATAAATTCGTTGTAACAAAAGATCATAGTTAATAAATATTTTTCTTTGATTACAAAAACATTACAAGAGGTTCTCCAAAAATATTAGAGAAACTTTATGAACAATGAATTTTAAATTTAAATGCTAGATTTTCTAAAATATAAAAAATTAGTAATTGCAAATAATTAAAGAATTTATTAATTCTCAAATAGCAAACATTTGGATGCTAAAAAACAATCTTTAATTGTAACGACCGACCGGACGTTTTGAGCTCTAGTGAGCCGTTCAGCGGTTTGAGGCCTTGAGTAGTTTCAGTTCATGTATTATGACTTGTACGCGTGGTCGGGGTTGAATTTCAGGAAGTTCAGAGTTGATTCGGATGAAAAATTCTAATTTCGGAAGCTTTAAGTTGGAAGAATTGACTAAGGTTTGACTTTTGAGTAAACGACCTCGGAATCGAGATTTGAAGGTTTCAATAGGCTCGTATGATGATTTCGGACTTGGGCGTATGTTCGGGTTGAGTATCGAGTCACCCATGAGCATTTCAGCGCTTATTGTGGAAAGTTGGCATTTTGAAGGTTTTAGAATTTCCTAAGTTTGGTTTGAGGTGGACTTTGGTGATATCGATGTCCGTTTGGGGTTCCGAGACTTGGAATAGGTTCGTATCATGATTTGTGACTTGCACGCAAAATTTGGCATCATTTCAGGATGTTTAAGTGTAATTCGGACGCGTTCAGCGAAGTTTGAATGCTTGAAAGTTTAAAGAAGGTTTCGATCATGATTCGTAGTTTTGATATTGTTTGGTATGATTTGAGGCCTCGAGTAGGTCTGTGTTATATTATGAAACTGGTTGGTGTGATTGAACGAGGTCCCGGGGGGCCTCAGGTGTGTTTCAGAATGGTTTCGGACCAAGTTTGGATGATTTGCTTTTGCTGGTGTCTGGTTTTGTCTTTCGGGAACGCGAAGGGATTCACGCATTCGCGAAGAAGGAGTTTTGGGGCTGTTGGGATTTTTGCCCATCTCGAATACCATAAAGGACACGCGAACGCAGAGCAGAGGCTAGTGTAGCCTACACGAACGCGACATGGAGGTCGTGAACATGAAGAGGAAGGGGAGCTGGGGCCTGTCAGGCGTTAAGCCTTCGCAAACGCTGCTCGTGGACCGCAAACGCGACTCGTGGACCGCGAACGCGAGGCAGTGGGATATGAAGGATTCGTGAACGCGACCAGTGGGTCGCGAACGCGTAGCGTAAAATTTTGGAGGCTGTTGTTTTAGCCTCCGCGATCGCGAAGGTGCTCCCGCGATCGCGATGAAGGACGGGCCTGGGCAGAATTATTTTAAGTCGGGAGTTTTTCTCATTAGACCCAGTCTCTCTTGGTTTGGGTGATGTTTGGAGAGCTTCAAGGGGAGATTTCCATCATCTTCTGCAAGGTAAGTAATTCCCCCATAATGTTGGTGAAATACATGGATTATATGTGAATTTCAGCATGAAAATTAGTAGAAATTGTGAGATTTTGAGAGAAATCTAGAAATTGGTATTTTTGGATTATTAATACGAAATTGAACATGAAATTAGGAATAAATTATATATTTGAGTTCGTGGTGTTATGGGTAAAGTTTTATCTTTGAAATTTTTTGAAATCCGTGCACATGGGCCCGAGGGTTGACTTTATTGACTTTTTGAGCGGAGTTGGAAATTGTTATAAATTAATTTATTATGAGTATTAGAGTATATTTTTATTGGTTTGCATATTGTTTGACTAGTTTTGGAGCGACAAGCATCGGTTTGAGGTGTTAGAGTGGCGTTGGAGCCGATTATGGAACTTCAGAGCGAGGTAAGTCTCATGTCTAACCCTGTGAGCGGGAATTTGTCCCGTAGGTATTATATTCTTATGTGCTACATGTTGTGGGAGTTACGCACGTATGAGGTGACGAGTGTCCGTGTGTATGCTAGAATTCTTGATTATGTCCGGGTAGACTTAGGTTCGCGCCATGCTATAATTGTACTATTTGAGTTACTTTTGCTCGTTTAATTCCTTTATTTCGCATTACGACTTGAGACTAGACTTGCATAGGGTGATAGACTCGCTATTGTAGAGATGTGACGAATTACTTGATAATCCACGGAGTAATTTGTGCTTCCCTTATGAATTTCTCCCGCGTTGTGCGTATTCATTGCAAAGTTTTTCTTAAATTTTGTAACTCACATGTATATTCGTGAGTGGGGTCAAGGACCCGTTAAAGCTTCTTATTCTACAGCAGATCAGGTCAGATGTGTTCATTCAGATTAGCACTGCTTATGGAGGAGTCTTCTGGTGTTGGCTGTTATTCCTGTCATCAGCTATTCTCTGTAATACTCTATTATGCCATGTAGGTTGTGAGGCGACTTGATTATTCACACATGTGTTGTGGTCCTGTGTAGCTTATCGTTATTGCACCTTAGTCGAGCTCGAGTTTTGTAGTGCATGGCGGTATCCGTCTCCCCATGGTTGTATTTTTTCACTTGGCGTGCTTGTGGTCGATATTCGGGTATTTAGTAGGTATAAGCATTATGGCTTGATCGGTATTTTCTTATTTATTGTTATGTGTGGATCGGGTGGCACGCCGCCACAGGTATGTTA